TTAATATTAATAAATTATTTATTTAAAATTTAGAACATAAAAAATTTAAATTTAAATCCCCAATACCTCTTAATTATATTATTTTGCCACCCCACTCCTTAAATTTTAATTCATCAATATCTCAGTTATGGCCGGTGTTTACAAAACCCACTAACCAAACAGCTAAACTGCTTATTCAGAACAGAGGCAGAATGATCAATTTTTCAGAATCAGTTGTTTTCCATAAGCGCCAACCAAACAGTCAGACAGCTTATCCGGATCAGCTGATCATCAGCAGATTATATGGATAAGCTGCTTATCAGCAGAAACTGGATAAACTGCAGCTGCCCCAAACAGACCCTAAATTAATAGACCAAAAACCTTAAATTCAAACTTAATAAATTAATCAAACTCATTTTTTTTCTGCACCTGCTCTCGATTATCTTACAATCTTCTTTACATATAAAATCCATGGCTTAAATTTATGATTTTAACTAAATAATCTCCGTAATCTTACATTAATTTCTCACGATTGCTTCTCAAAACCTAAATAAAATCCATGAATCGATATAGCGATTAGGTAAGATGGAAACTAATAAATGAATCACCTGGAGCTCAGTGGTAACTGGGTACTCATCCATGTCCACATAGTTCTTGTTGATGGAAGCCATGATGAGCTTGTCGCACTCCGGCTCCATCCACGTCGTGACGAAGGACGCCAGATTCAATCTCGGATTCCCATCAAGCATCAACTCATCATGAATGATCTGATAAGCCGCCTCTTTCGGTATCGATTGCTCCGGCATCCGAAACCTAGAATCCGAATCGAGAAATCAACACTACCCGACCTTCAAGCAACGAGAAATTAAAACCCTAGGTGGTACTGATTCGAAATGATCACCTGGGGAGAGCGGTGCGGACGTATCGGGAGCCGAAAGTGCAGTGGATTGCGGCGTCCGATGAGTCGGGTTGGGCGCGAGAGAGAGCCATGTGGAAAGGGAAGGTGGGGATCGGGAGGTCTGATTGGATTGGGGGAGAACAAGGGTTTTCAATGGAGAAATTGTGAGGGATCACGCGCTTGAAATTTGGGAAATATAGGGTTAAGAAAATGGGAGCAGGTTAGGGGTGAGACTTCGTTGGGACGAAGACATTATTGTTTCTGTCATATTGTGGAGCCCGTGAAAACGTCGAAGTTGAAAATTATCATTTCAGCCGACAACTCCTTCGCTGTGTCATAATGCCT